TTTTTTTTTTTTTTTTTTTTTTTTAGATGGAGTCTTGCTCTGTCACCCAGGCTGAGTAGAGTGGAGCGATCTCGGCTCACTGCAACCTCTGTCTCCCAGATTCAAGCTATTCTCCTGCCTCAGCCTCTTGAGTGGCTGGTACTACAGGCGCCCGCCACCACACCGGGCTAATTTTTTGTATTTTTAGTAGAGATGGGGTTTTGTTGTGTTAGTCAGGATGGTCTCCATCTCCTGACCTTATGGTCTGCCTACCTCGGCCTCCCAAAGTGCTTGGATTACAGGCAGGAGCCACCATGCCCAGCCGCTTCTTTTAAAAAGTTCTAAGTTACTAGCCAATTAGGACAAATACAGAATGTAAGGTCCCATTCCAGCCAATGGAAACTGGACACAGCAGTAGGGTGGACACATCAGGTTATAAATGACCCTGTCTCCTTTGTTCAGTGTACTCTCGTAGCAAAACTGCTGGTGACTGTACCCTTTCTGCAGAAAGTAAAAATGGCCTTGCTAAGGAAATTAAATTTATGTTCAAGTGCTATTTCTTTATGGCACCAGGGAACAAGCATTTCAAACAATATGGTCGCATGTAAGTTAAAACAGGGCCTTCATGGATTAAAACTCATTATCTATAAAAGCTAATTAAGGCCAGGCGCGGTAGCTCATGTCTGTAATCCCAGAACTTTGGGAGGCTGAGGCGGGTGGATCACTTGAGTCGAGGAGTTCGAGACCAGCTTGGGAAACATGGCAAAACCCCATCTCCACTAAAAATACAAAAATCATCTGGTGTGGTGAGGCACGCATCTGTAGTCCTAGCTGCTTAGGAGGCTGAGGTGAGAGGATCACCTTAGTCTGGGAGTTTGAGGCCACAGTCAGCCACAATTGTACCATTGCACTCCAGCCTAGGCAACAGTGAGATACCCCCTCCCCAAAAAACAGAAAACATGGAGGAAACCAAAGATGCTGCAAGGCTGTGAGTGGATGGTACAGAGGGCGTGGGGGGCTTGGAGGGGAGGCCTGCAACCTCAGTCAAGGATGAAGGAAGCTGGGTGGCCCTGAGAGAGAGGTGGGGGTGTCCTGGGGCCGCCCAGGCTGTCAACGGTGTGCTAGAGGGACTGAGGTCCCGACACAGCCGGGGATTGGCAGTTATTGTTCAAGAGGACAAAGAAGAGAGACAAGGTTATCATTCAGAGAAGGAGAGAGAGGGGCCTGCGGTCTGAAGAAGAATGAGGACATGGCCCTGTCTGTTCAGTGCCAGAGGGAAGGGGAAGTGATTCGATTTTGTTGCTGCTCTGGTCTGAATGTTTGTGTCTCTATGAAGTTCATATATTGAAGCCCTAACCCCCAAATAGAGGGGATTAGGAGGTAGGGCCTTTGATAGAGAATCAGGTCATGAGGTTGAAGCCCTCACAACTGGGATTAGTGCCCTTTTAGCAGAGCCCCAGAGAATTCCCTTGCCCTTTCCACCCTGTGAGGTTACCTGTGAATGAGGCAGCCGACCCTCAGCAGACACTGGATCTGCTGGCAGCTTGACCTGGGACTTGCCAGTCTCCAGAACTGTGAGAAATAAGCTTCTGTGGTTTGTTTGTTTTGTTTTGTTTTGTTTTCCCCAGATGGAGTCTCGCTCTGTTGCCCAGGCTGGAGTGCAGTGGTGCGATCTCGGCTCACTGCAACCTCCGCCTCCCTAGTTCAAGCAATTCTCGCCTTAGCCTCCTGAGTAGCTGGGATTACAGGTGTGCGCCACGACACCATGCTAATTTTTGTATTTTTAATACAGACGGGGTTTCACCATGTTGGCCAGGCTGGTCTCAAACTCCTGACTTCATGATCCTCCTGCCTTGACCTCCCACAGTGCTGGGATTACAGCCATTAGCCACCATGCCCAGCACTTCTGTGGTTTATAAGCCATCCAGGCTAGTTTTTTTGTTTGTTTTGAGACTGAGTCTAGCTCTGTCATCCAGGCTGGAGTATAGTGGTGCGATCTTGGTTCACTGCAACCTCCACCTCCTGGGTTCAAGCGATTCTCCGGCCTCAGCCTCGTGAGTAGCTGGGATTACAGGTGTCCGCCACCATGCCTGGCTAATTTTTTTGTATTTTTAGTAGAGATGGGGTTTCACTGTGCTGGCCAGGCTGGTCTTGAACTCCTGAACTTGTGATCTGCCCGCCTCAGCCTCCCGAAGTGCTGGGATTAGAAGCGTGAGCCACTGCGCCTGGCTGTTTTTGTATTTTGAGTCAGGGTCTCATTCTGTCATCCAGGCTGGAGTGTGGAGACATGATCATCCCTTACTATAGCCTTGAACTCCTGGGCTCAAGTGATCCTCCTACCTCAGCCTCCAGAGTTGCTAAGACTACAGGTGCATGCCCCTACACCTGGCTATGGTTTTTTTTTTTTTTAACATGGGGTCTTGCTATGTTGCCCAGGCTGTTCTTGAACTCCTGAGATTCCTTGTGCTAGGCGCAGTGCCTCGTGTGGGGGTCTCTGTTTCCTAATGTGTGCCCCTTTGTTCTGCTCAGGCGTGTTCTTCACGTGGCATCTAGACAGCCCCACTGTTAGGTCAGGTCCCCTCTAGGAGGGACCTGCTGGCCTGGGCCTGACAGCCACATGGGCAGATGGTGCTCTGGCCCTGTTTCTGCTCTGTGAGCAAAACCTTGCTCTATCCATTGTTCCACCGTGCTGTGTTTCCCCTGGCGGCTCCAATACCAAGATCCAGGGGCAGAAAGTGTTCAAACTCATGGTAGCCCTGATCGTAGGAACACATGCTACTCACTTAGCGTTCTTACTTTTGTTCTTTTGTGATTTACCTATTACCCCTGTATTTCACACATCTGCGTGGCTCCACCCCTGATTTTAATCTCTCCAGCCACACCAAGATCTGCTAGGCTCCCAACCCAGCTGGGCCCCTCCCGTCGCCTTGAGGCCTGTGCACCAGCAGGTCTAGCTGCCGGGGAGCCCTCAGCGTTTCCTTCTGGCCCCGCCCAGAATCCTGGGTTCACTGAGAGAAGGTGATCAGGGGCAGCAGGACTTTCTCAACACCCAGCATCTGGTGCTGGTGACACAGGAGGATGGCTCCTAACTGCGCGGCTTGGAAAGGACGGGAGGGGCTGGGATGAGGCCCAGAGGCGCACGGCATACACACACCTGCACTCACTGCCCTTGCCCAGCACTGAGCCCCAGGAAGCCTGGGGAATCTGTGGGGCAGGCGGGGAGTTTGGAGGTTGGGCTTTTTGGGAGCATTGGGGACAACCTCACACAGTCCTTGGATGGGGTTTCCTTGAGTCCGTCCCAGGAGCGGCACACAGACCCTGGGGTGCAGGAGCACGGAGCAGGGGGGCCCTGGGCTCACCTGGGATGGTTCTCTCTGGGACCTTGGACTCTTCCCATCTTCCTCCTCACCGAAACTCCAGTCCTGGTGTTCGACCGAGTCCAGAGATACCAGAACTGTGCAGGAGAAAGGGATCGTGAGAGGGGTCTGTTCTTCCCGGAGCCCCCAATTCTCCAGACCTTCTGGGGAGGGCAGACTTTCCCCAAACATTCCTGCAGCATCCCTGAGGTGCAGGCAAGAGTGATGGCTGTCATTCTGTCCCTCCATGTGGCTGCTGGGTAGGAACCTGTGGTGACACCGAGGGCTGCTGAGGACAAGTACCCTCTTCACTCACACTCCACACCCCTGTGTGCCTCCAGAAGCCCACGAGGACACGCACTGCAGCACTGACCAACTAGGGAGGCCCGGACACCATGAGCCCGCTGCTCCCCAAGACCCCCGGGGCTGCTGTGCACAGAGAGGACAACTGCTGAAGCAGGGTTCAGGACACCATTTACAGAAGGGTCAAGATGTGGGAACCAGGCCAGGCGAGGTGGCTCACACCTGTAATCCCAGCACTTTGGGAGGCTGAGGCAGGAGGATTGCTTGAGACCAAGAGTTTGAGAGCAGCCTGGGCAACACAGCGAGACCCCTCCCTCTATTTTTTAATTAAAAAAAAGAAAAATTCAAGACCATGGCCACCTCTGGGGTGTCAGGCAGAGTGAGGGACAACAGGACTAGGAGACGTGCACGGGGTTTCAGCCGACTCCACTGGTTGGTTCTTTTTTTTTGAGACAGTCTCGCTCTGTCGCCCAGGCTGCAGTGCAGTGGCATGATCTTGGCTCACTGCAATCTCCGCCTCCTGGGTTTAAGCGATTCTCCTGCCTGAGCTTCCTGAGTAGCTGGGATATAATGTAGGCATGTGCCACCACGCTCGGCTAATTTTTCTATTTTTAGTAGAGACGGAGTTTCACCATGTCAGCCAGGCTAGTCTCGAACTCCTGCTTTGTGATCCACCCGCCTTGGCCTCCCAAAGTGCTGAGATTACAGAGGTGAGCCACCGCGCCTGGCCATGGGTATTTCTTTTAAAACAACTGCAAGTCAGCCTTTCTGGAGGTTGGGCTTTGATAGGGCTGGGTGGTATGTGCAGGGCTGTTCATTATACTTGCTCTACTGTTTCGTAGGCTCAAAATATGGAATGTAAAAAGCAGACCACTGCTATGGAAGACAAATAGAGCCCTTTGCTCAAAAACGATGAAGAATTTCGAGAGTGACCATGGAACATTAAACCTAGCAAGGGTGGCTCTGGGCTGGGATGGCTGTGAGGTCCACAGAGCATCAGAAGCTAGTGGTCTTGGGCCCTCTGCCCCAGGAGCAGAAAGTTCAAAGGGCCAATTCATCTGGCTTCTGCCTTGCAGTTTACAGGGCTACCCTTGTGCCTCTGGAAAGCTCACGGGCTGCCCTGAGGCAGTAAGGGGACCCTGGACCCTGTGTTCTGCAAACTGCTTATCACTGTTAGCCTGTAGGAAAGCTGTAGTCCGAGGGTGCAAAGGGAGGGCCTGTTCCTCTCCCTTGCTCCAGCCCTCTTTTCTCTGAGCTCTGATCCGACCCTTGTCACTCCCAGCCTTTGCTCCTGCAGTGTGGCTGCCTGGCATACCCTCCTTGCTGGGGCCCTGCTGAGGAAGCCCCCCCTGAGGCCACAGTGCCATGACTGCTCTCACCATTCGTGGCTGCCTCTTTTGGCCTCCCAGTGTCCAATCCCTGCACTTCCGTCACTAGGAAAGAAAGAGCCTCAGTCATGGGACTGGGCCCTGGGTGGATGGAATCTCCACGTGGGGTCACAGGGGCAAAGATGCAGGAGGACAAAGCCCTCTCAGGGGAGAGGGGAGCTAAGAGAGGAGACAGGGAGGAAGCCCAGTTCCAACCCCATGTTTCCCAGCTCCCAGAGTCGGGATGCAGACCTAAGCGTCTCTCCCCACCATCAGCCAGCGATGGGGCCTGCGCCCTGTGAAGGCTTAAGGATCTCTAGGATTCCTGAGTGTTGCAGGAGGCGCTGCATGTGGCTGGGAGGAAGTGGCCGGGCAGCGTCCTTCCCAGAGAGCAGCCGGTGAGGAGCAGCGGACACAAAGCCACAGGACAGATGGACGCATGGGAAATGGAGGCATCTTTAATCACTGAGTGAGAAACCCGAGGCAGATGAGGCGTGCAGCACATTTATATGTAAAAATAATTAAAAACACAGCCGCGGGGCAGGAGAGGTTTGCTGGTCGGGAGGGACCGGGCAGGGGTGGGAGCGATGCGGGCGGACAGGAGGGCAGTTCGGTCCTCGGAGACGTCAGGCCCCCTGCCCGTCCCAGGGCTCGGAGCCTGCGCCTCTCACCTTCCTGCTGGCACATCTGTGTCAGGTCCTCCACCAGGCTGGCGGCCTCCCTGCAGCTTCGGGGGCCCTGTGACTGCACCCAGGTCCGCATCTTGCTGGGCAGCGCGCCCAGGAACTGCTCCAGCACCAGCAGCTCCAGCATCTGCTCCTTGGAGCGCGCCTCGGGCCTCAGCCACTGGCGGCACAGCGTCCAGAGCTGGCCCAGCGCGAGGTGAGGCCCGCCCGCCACGTGGTACTGGAACTGCCGGAAGCGCAGACGCTGGGCTTCAGTGTCCCTGGGGCTTGCTGGCCCAGGGTCCGCGTCCTGCTCACTCAGCGTTGGGGTCTGGGGGCGTCTGGGGGAGTCAGGGGCTTTGGGCCGTGGGAGCATTTCTCTGGCCACAGGGCCTGTCTGAGGGGTGTGTGTGAACTGGATCCCGAGTGGCTCCGGACACAGCCAGTGTGGCAGGCGGGCAGAGTCAGCAATCAGGGGCCTGCAGAGAGGGGCAGGGACAGAAGGGCCACATCAGATGGTGGCCCTCCATACTCAGGATGCCCCTCGGCTCCCTGCTTCCTTGTCCTGATCTCCAGCACCCCAAGGAACTAACCTGACCTCTTCCCACCTCCTGACCTAATCTTCCACATGCCTCTCACAGGCTACTCTGCACTGAGTTCAAGCCACTGGCTGCCCCCAGGACCTTTGCACCTGCCATCCCACCCCAGCTCCTCCCCCTTCCCCCCAGCTCCTCCCCTCGAAGATGTCCCAACCATCATCCTCATGGCGCCCTCTTCACAACCCCTATGACTTTCTGAACATATCTTTTCCCCTTACTTAGTTTAGCGTCTATCTCCCTCTCATTTAGTCACTCAACACACATCGACTGAGCTGCGGGAACAAGAATGCCTGCCCTGTGGTGTGGCCAGCACTGCCCAGCGTAGTTCCTACAGGAATGTAAACATTCTCTACCCATGCAGCCACCTACAGGTGGTTGGGAGCACCTGAAATAGGAACTGAATTTTAAATTTAAATTCCATTTAAATGGAAGCAGCCAGGTGGGCTACATAATAATGGATGACAGCACCAGCAGCAGCAGCTCTGCCCATGGTGTTATCTTTGCTGTCTTCCTGCCTTTCCTACCAAGTCCAAGTTGGGAGAGGAGACCAGGAAGAGGGCAGGGGAGACTGGAGACTCTGAAAAGAGAGGGAAAGTGGGAAGGGCAATTAAAAAATAACCTTTTGTGGCCGGGTGCAGTGGCTCACACCTGTAATTCCAGCACTTTCGAAGGCCGAGGTGGGTGGATCACCTGAGGTCAGCAGTTTGAGACCAGCCTGACCAACATGGCGAAACCGCGTGTACTAAAAATACAAAAATTAGCCAGTGTGGTGGTGCACACCTCTAATCCCAGCTACCGGGGAGGCTGAGGCAGGAGAATCGCTTGAACCCAGGAGGCGGAGATTGCAGTGAGCTGAGACTGTGCCACTGCACTCCAGCCTAAGTGACAGAGTAAGACTCTGTCTCAAAAAAAAAAAAAAGAAGTTACCTTTTGTACATTTTCCAAGCCCATTATGGTAAACATATAACTGAAGAAAACATTAAAAGTTGTGAAAATAAAAATAAGCAGGGAGGTTTTGGTTGTTTGTCTTTAACTATTGTACTCTGGACTGATCTGCTGGTGAGAATATAAATTGTCACGACCTTTCTGGAAAGCACTGTGGCCACTTATATATCAAGAACACTTGGTAGATTGCGTGCAAGATGTGAGATTCAGGCACCAAGATTCACTACAAAAGTGCCCAACAGTTGAATGTGGTGGGATCAACTACCTTCCCCATCATGTGACGGGAGTATTCAACTATGTCCAGTACACAACACCATGACATGACCATGGGGAGTAGACACATGATGTACAGATGACATGAAGCATAGGGAACGTGGGATGCAGGATGATGCATGAGTGTCATAGAAAGGGAGTGCTGGGAAGAGGCCCACGGGGGGGCAGCCAAGTGCTTTGTGCTCTTCATACTTCTCTGAATCTCCAAATGGTGTCAGGATCCCATGTGACCTTCATCAACATGGAAAAACAAAAACAAAACAAGAAATCTTTAGGAAGGATTTTTAACCGTATGGGAAATGCTTATGACAAATGAAAAGGAGGGATTCCATGGGATTTTTCCCTCTTCATCTTCTGCTGCATTTTTCATACACTCTGTTCTTGTGCATCTGGTTTTACAATCCAGGAGAAAGGAGAGGTGCAGGGTGGCAGAAAAGGCAACTCATGGGGACTGTGCCCGGCCAGCCATCTTCGAGTCAGCGTACCCAGCCACCCGCACCCTGATTGGGAAACTACCAGCTTGGTCTTCCCTGCCAAGGCCACAGGCAAAAATGCTCTCTTATGTTGTATTCACGCTCTTATATATATAGTTTTGAGTAAGAAAAAGGGCCCATTTGGAAGCTCCACAGGTTCAAGAAGTCCCTTTGCCCTGGGGCCTCAGACCTTACACTCTCTCAGGTGCTCATGGCAGCTCACACTGGAGACTGCTGGGAGGGGGGCTGTAGCCCCTCAGCATCCTCCAGGGTCTTGGGCTGGGGTCTGTGGGAGGAGAGGCTAAGTTTATCCTGGATGAGGGTAAAGAGGAGGTCTTAGCAGAAGGCACCAGAGGTCCATGGGTGTGTCTGGGGTCTATATGGGGGCTGACGGAAAACCTGGGCCAATGTGGAGGTGCCTGAGCTGATGAGAGTCCAGGACTGATGGGGGGGCTACTTCTGGAAGATGAAGAGGGCCTGCAATGATGTGGAGGGGACTGAGGTCTACATGGCTGGTGAGGAGGATCTGGGCCCCCCATGGGCAATGCTGGTGGTGGCCCTGGGGTCCTAGAGGTCTACTTTGGTGGGAGTCTGGGATTAATGCTGGGGATGTGTGTGTGTGAGAGAGTGTCACTTGGAGGGCTCAGTGCCTGTGGAAGGGCCAGGTTCACTTGACATGAGCACTGAGATCTGCAGCCCAAGCCCCAAATTCTATTGTGGGGATGGGCGGGAGGGCTTTGCCGCTGATGGCGGATGCTTAGTGACATAGTAGACGTGTTCGCTGCGACAGTCAGTGAATGGCTCTGGCTCTGAGAAGGGGGCTTAGAGTAGGGAGGGCGTTGGGAGCTTAGGATGCCACTCGGGGGAGCTCCATAATAAATGGGCTGGGGAAGTGTGCACTGGGAACACGGGGGAGGGGCAGCGACGACGGCTGGTCGGGTGGGGGATGGGTCGTGGCGGCTCCTCAGGAGGGAGATGGGCCCGGGCGGGGGAGCTTGTAGGGAGGGAGACGGGTCGGGGACTGCTGTTCCAGTGGGGGATGGGCCCGGGGGGCTGGTAGGGAGGGAGATGGGTCGGGGGCAGCTGTTCAGGAGGGAGATAGGTCACGGGATGCCGATCATGTGTGGAAGGGAGAACTTGGAGCGGCCGAGCGGTGTCTGGGCGGACAAAGAGGGTACGTAGAGGGGCTTCGGCCTCAAACTGACAGGCGGATGCCAACGGGGGTTGGGATCCCTGAGGAAGGGGCGGCCCTAGCCCCCAAGTCCCCCGCGCCGCGTGGCCTCTAGCCTTCCCCTCCCCTCCCCTCCGGCGACCTCAGGACTCCGGACGGGCTCTGGAACCCC